GAGCATTTTGAACCTTCAACTTACTTAATTTATCATCGTCCATTGATCTTTTATTTTTAAGTCACGATTAAAGAATCCTGTATTCTCTTTCAGAGAGATTAGTGTAACTATGCAAATCAGTTTTAAAATGTAAATATCCGAGACAACATCTAAACTAGTTCCAATTTATATGATTACTATTTGTATGGTTTCAGATTTGAGGGACTGAACTCTAACCACAAAAGGAAGGACCAGAAAAGAGATGTCTGCCTTTTGACGACAAACCAGATAATGAGAAAATGAAGTATGCACCAGCTTAATGGCTCCCCATTTCCCATGTAACAATTGGAAACATTTATCAAGAGTATTTACTGCGAATAATGAAAAAAAAAAAGCAAAAAACTGTGAACCTGAGGTACAGTTCTGCTGGAGTCTGAGCCACAGAGAAGTTAAGCTTGAATCCATTAGTTGTTTATCTTCCTCAGAAGAATTTAGACATTTTTAAGTCATAAATCTCAACACACGAACGTGGTGTTAATGCATCTGTAGCAAATTTTCAGCACAATTAAGGTCCGATGTTTCCTTTGCAACACATGCGTAACCCAAAGGATTATGCTTGGCATTACGAACCTTCAGCGTAAACAAATAAAGATCTTAAGATCTTAGCTCATTGTAATTCTGATGCTGTATACAAGAATTGTCTGTGGATTAATGTTACTGTGGGCTATTTTGAAGGAAACACAACATACACTGCATTATTATCTACCAAAAACAACAGTGTTCGGTCTGAGGAACTCCACCACACTTCAGTGTATTGCGAGTGATCATTAGTATTCTGCAGATCATTCACCCCCCCATATTCCAGCTAGAATTTTTGATTAATGCACAGCCATTAAAGGCTTACTTTGCTACTTGGAAAATCTTGACTGACAATCAGAGGATAGAGCTCTAAGCATAACATAAACCTTGTAATCCTGTATCATAGCAGATTTAGACTTGGTGGAACCTCCGGTTTAGCTTGTTTATCTCATTGGCTATGTCTCTGCTGAAGCAAAACAAGCAGCAGAGCTCCAGACAATGCCGTACCTTTACGCATTTGAGGCAAGGACAGATTTGCAGCATCTGGATGTGACTGCAGATCCTCTGCGTCTCTAATCCTCTGGGTTGCTGTGTTTCTGCTCAGGCACATGAGGGATCATGAGAGCCATTCATTTACATGCTTCCTGCCACAGGGCAAATAAACAGACACAACAAAAACCAAAGAAAAAGCAAACAAATAAAAAGCAATGCATTTCCACCTGAATAATAAAAACATGACTTGTACATGTTGAATGGTTTATAAATATGCAGCATACATAAAGTTTGCAGTATTTTTAACTTGAGTTGAAATCTTTCAAACTTCCTGTATGGATATCTTATTATGTCTGCTAACATAAAGTTCTGCAGTAACAGCAGATTTAGAGACCTCAAAAGTTTCTGCGACTCATCACATAATTGATTTTGGCTACCAAGGGGGCCTCGGCTCACAATGCTGCACATATTAACACATTTCCCCCCCTATGTAGGTCTTAGCTGGGTCTCCAGCTGGATTTAAGAAAATTATTTCAACTTGAGCAGAACATCTACAATTTACACTGATCCAACTTTTTATGCAGATTTGTTCTGTATTTAGCCTTTAAAGACAATTTACATGAGGCCATGAAGTAACATATAAAACCTTAATAATCAACTCTATCATACACAAGAGATCTGATTGGTCCAGATGTTCCTAACAGAGCACTTGCCTCCCAGACTGCAGGCTTGCTGCCGGATGCTAGGATTTCTAAAGGTAGAACGGGAGGCAGTTTGTTTAGTCATCAGACCCCTCTCCTGTGGAAAAGGCCCCAGTTTTAGTCCATGAGGCCTTTCCCAGTCTGGTATAACCTGTAGCTATAGGCTGAGGCTGCTGGAGGAGATAATGACAACCTCTCCCTGCTCTGCGACAGTCTCCTCCTTCTTACCACTCCTCCTCGCTGCATTATTTGCAGATATTTCAACTTTTAATTGTATATTAAGAGCTACTTTTGGTTTGCCGTTCTGTTTAGCTGTGACAGTTTCCTGGAGGGAATTTAAATGTCTTGCTTGCAAATCTAAACTATCTATTCTGGCCTCAAAATGTAAAATATTTACCAAGGGCGATCATGAAAATTGCATAATACCGTCTCTAGGCTAAGCTGTGTTTCCATAAGCAAGGTATCACCTTGAAAGTTTGAAAAAAAAAAAAAAAAAACTAAACAATACAAGTTTCAGTGCTAATTACATTAATAATTTCTCTCAAAGGGAAAGGTCGTTTTGAAGTCGCTTTAACTAGAGACAAGAAGAATCAATAACCGGTTAAAGATGGAGCTGCAAAGATCTGTTTGTCATCAGGCCTAAATGACACTGCTACTTTAGAGATCACCAGGAAGAGTAATAGAATAGAAAGCCTGATGTGGCACAAGTATTTAATGGCGGACGGACAGAAATTACTTTACCACTTCTGATCTCGCTAAATGGTCATCATTAGTCTTTAATGTTTTTGTCTGTATTCATAAATCAACTACATTTCTTGTCAAATAGGATAATCTATTTAATATTCAGGCAGAATAAAAACTGATGAGCAACATTCATGACAAATGATCTGCTACTGAAAAACACTACTATATATTTTCCTTCGCTCTTTTTTTTTTAAAGATTTCACAATTTCAAAGAATTCACAGGAATATCTCAATAAATTGGAGTAAAATTACATTCATTTATCTTATTAATTTATTTTAAAAATAAAAATAAAAACTAAACTCACACAACACTGAACGTGTTTTCTCCTGCTCATTTTGCATTAGTTAATAAAACTCAAATCAGTTTCTCTGAAAATAATAACATCAATAAAAGACCATTTTGCCGGGATTCTGAAATATTTGACCATATACAGTATAATGCATGCCCATTAGTCTGGAGATTCTTTAGGGCCCATTGTGAGTTAGCATTATATAAACAAAATCGAAATGAGGCATGGAGTCATCTTGACTTCTAAAGATGCACTGTGGTACTTGATACCAAAATGTTTGCCCTAGTCAAAGTCAAATTATGCCCATTTTTCCTGTTTCTAACGTCGGTTTAGAGAGCACAATATTCACTTCCTGACTAGTACAGTATAACCTACATATACAATGCTAAGCAAACAATCAGTGTTACCAGCAGTCCCTTTAGGTGGATATTACAGTATGTCTTGTCATTGTATTTCTCTGAAAAGCACCATTGTTTTACATTCTGATTTAAAATCTAATCTCATTCATACTGCTCTTTTCTCTGTCGTCCATAGGTAAGCATAACTATATTGCTGAGTGACACAATGCATTGCTTTCTTCTCTTTGTCTCCTCCATCTATTCCTGCCACTTTGGACATTTCAACCTTCTCCTCATATTCTTTCATGTAAAAATTGTTGCAAAAACATATAGTGACAGGTATTTAACCTGTACAACAAACAACTACTTCAAGGGTAACAAAAAAGTTTGCAAGGCAGCAATTACAGCACATTGTGGGCAAACACTTCACAGACATGATCCTCAGGAGCCCGAGGCTTTTATGTAACTAATAGCACAAATCAGTTCCACTAAATGACAGCTTGCGGATCTTACATAATTAGAAAGAGACAGGGTAGAAAGAATTTTCTGGAGCAAACTGATAAACATTTAGCAAAGGTTGTCAGCTGGACACATCCCACTTTTTGCCATTTTGCACCGCCTCTCCAACAAAGCTATGCAGTGCATAGATTAACAGGCAACTGGATTAGATCCAGAAAAAAAAAAAGTTTGAAACTGAGGAAAGGAAGTAAACAGTAAAAGCACAGCAAGAGACAAAGAAATGAAATCTGTCAGTTTGATTTAAAAAAAAAAAAAAATCTTTGTGCTTCCTGGTGCCTGAGGGAATAACATGTCAACACCTCTTTGTTTTTTAGTAGTTCTTAATAGCGGGTACTAAAACTGTCAAACTTAATAAAACAAATTTAAACAATAAATGAACACAATAGAAACACCAGCACACCTTCGTGACCACATACATTCACTTCAATGAGAAAAGTGAGGGCAAATACTTTGGAAGCAAAAGAAAATAACTTAATTCTAAGGCAAAAAAAAATCATTTATTTAAAAACAGTAAAACATTTTTTATTGTGTTTTTGTGTCGCTCGAATACATAGGATCACTGTGCAAAAAGGATTGCCATGTGATGTTTTGTGTCTTCTTATTTATTTGTAGTAGCACAAAGTGCTTGCAAAGTTTGACTATCTGCCTTCTTGGTAACCTTTAGTGACCTGCAGATTACACAAGGTATCCCTAGCAACTGCTGCCTTCTCGTTCCAGTAGTTTCTCTTTTGCCATCTCACCTTTTTATCCTCCCACTCACTGCAGATCTGTGAACCCTTACATGAGAAGTCTTGATATGAATGTTACATTCAGAATACAAAGCACAAAGAGATGGGAAATGCTTAGGGTACTCCATTGGACTATTGCACATGTATTTTTTCCCATGTTGTAACAGGTGTTATGTCAGCCTACATTAGCCCATCAAAATGCTCCCCTGCAGCGCCGCATGCACAAGCGGCAAAAGCAAACGGAACAAAAACAAATAAATAATAATTGCATGTGCTTGTTCTGCTCACACACAGAGGGATAACGGCATTCCGTCGAGTTTTGTTGTGAAAAGACAAAATCGATGTGCACACAAACAATGAGCGGCATTAGTGAGAAATGTAATAAGCAAAACTTACAAAATTCTGGAACTGCACAAACCAGGTATGGAAGGAAGCAAAGTGAATCAGGCAGGGTAAGTCATTTTGGCGCCCGAGGATTTATGTGGCACTCGCCAGGTCACCCAGTCATTCAAAATGTACAAATGTGTACACTCAACACTTTGATTTTTTTTATTCAGAAAAAAACAAAAATAAAAAAATATCACCAAAATACAAATTATCCATAAACCAAAAATTATGAAATATTCTGACCTGGGTCTACTAGAGCAGCCTCCATTTCTGATGCATGAATGATCTCCCGTGAGGCGAAGGCAACAGGAGGAGTGCATGGTAGTGTTGCAGGATGCCAGGAGAGGGATTTAAATATCTCAATAAAGCATCTGGAGAGAAAAAGAGATACATGATTCCATAAATAAAAGTATACAACAACATGACATGTTTTAAGTTCACTATAATGTCCATGCACAATTTTCTGAGACTTAATTTTTTCTGCAATTTAAATCAAATTAAATGCCGAATTAAATGAAGCAATAAACTTCAATAATATGGGAATACAAAAATGACCTTAAGTTGAAAATAATTTGTAGTTACTCTTATGTACTTATATCACACAGTTGAAGAGGTTTTGCTACTTTACAGCTTTTCTGAAAAGTAAGCTACTTATAGAAACTGGGATCTACTCACTATCTCAACAGAGCACACCACCGATCAGAAACAACCACAGCCAGGAGGAGTGTCTTAGTGATTTTAACAATGCTTGGGTATGTGCTGCTCAAAGTGCTAAAGGCGGGGAAACAACGTATCATTACTGAAAAATCATTTATCCACCATCATCGGTGGTGACAGTTTTAACAAATATGCATTAAAAAAACATATTGTTTATAAACATACCTAATGCAGCTTTAAGGAGATTTCCAGCACTTATTTTATTTACACATAAAGCACTGATTTATGTACAACTGACATGAATATGTTCTGTTTTATTCTCTAATCTAGAGAATTGGGTGATCACAGCGGTTTCACAAACTGTGTAGCCATCCCTGTACTGAGAGCAGAGACTGTAGAAAACGCTCTGATATGTAAATTTACATTAATATATGATGTCATCTGTTGGGTTTATTATTTTTTTACAGCATCAACTGTGCTTGGAAAGCCGTCAGGGGAAACACATTTTGATGCCACCCCTGATAAGATCATAGTTTGTGTGATGTTGCATATTATATGAAAATGAATAACTAGTAGCTAAACATCTGACAAACAGCAAAAAAGGCAGGGGGTTTGGAGAGCAAACTTTTCTAACATCTCTGCACTGATATGGCGGGGGAGCACATTTCAAACCATTGCTCCTTCACTGCACCATTTATGCTGCAGCTGCTGCCGCTTCAAACAGCCCTCTTTTGTTCACGTTTCTGCCATTGAGACACTGCATTTGCAGTCAATTCAAATCCGTCATCCAGAACTAAAAACTCAGAAAAAAACAAACCACCACAAAACATAACCATCTGGGATTTTGGTTTAGGCTTTATGTCTAGGTTTATAACATAGGGATAGTGTTTTTGTTTTTTGTTTTTTTGTTTTTTGTTGTACAGCTGCCAACATCCCCTTGCTGGTGTCATTTAAAAAAATAAAACATAAAACTATACAGAGTTATTCTTATTTCTAAGTATTTAATTATTTGTAATGGACATTTATCTGAATTTCACACTGGAAAGTAGAAATATACTTTCCAAGAAGGCCTACTAAAACCTACTAAAATCATATTGGAAGGGCTTACATCTCACATGCTAATTTTACCTTTTTGACTCAATGACCTTCATGTTATACATGCAGCACAATGGGTTTTCAGCCCATGCGTGGGTTTAATCTTTTTAGTCACAACCTTTGAGCACACCTGGCTTAGGGCAACAGGTTTTGTGCTTTGTGGACTAAGGATTAGGAGCATGGAAAAGCATGAGTCACAGGGAAGAACGTGAGGCAAAATGTGTGGTGTGATTGCAGGAGAGGTCCAGTGGGAGCTGCAGGGTGATGGACAATGCAACGTTGGACGGGGGGAGCGGAATGTGACAATGTTGGTTGCAAACTCTCCCTGCCGTGGAAAATGATCAGTCACATAATGTGTGTGTTTAACACTGGAGGCTGAGTCTAGCTCGGGGAAACGTGGCAAACTGGGAGTCTGTGTTAGCAAAGTACCGATTGCTATGCTTTGTGTTGCAGTTTGAGTGAAAGATGGCAGAAGACCAGCTCGCTGGTAGCAGGAGGGAGCTGCAAGAGGAGCGATTTGCAGCAGACACATTTGGCAGACAGGCTCTACTCATTCAGAGGCTCTCTGAATGAGTAGAGGCTGGTACTATCTGTGTTTTCTATCTTAGAGACCTATTTTAATGACCTACTTGAGCACTCTTTGCATAAATTAGATTTTTAAATTGATGTCATGTTCAATGTGTAATGGACTTTGTTCAGACTTTACAAACTTAGTCTGCAATTTATTTTGTGTTGTTTATAGGTTGCAACAAATTTATGTCCAAACCATGCAGTACCGTACTGGTATTATTAAAAATACACTCCCTTCATTATAAACATGCTCACACAGATGGTATTGATTCATAATACATCATGGCTTGTGCAAAAAAAATAAATAAATAAAAAATAAAATAAATAAATAAATATATATATATATATATATATATATAT